TGCCAGTCCCCTCTCTGCCTGCAGCCAGGCGGGCGCTCTGCCAGGGGACGGCGAGTTTATTTACCCTCGGGGGTCAAGGCCCACTCACCCTGCCCCTCAGTGTCCATCGCCGGGGCCTGCCGCCTGCAGGGACCGCCCGCTCGGGGCAGCATTAACAAAGACATACGGGAAGCCCTGGCCGGTGTGGCTCAGTGGGTAGAGCGCCGGCCTGCAGACGGAATTCCCGGTCAAGGGCACATGCCCGGGTTGCGGGCTCGATCCCCAGTAGGGGGCGTGCAGGAGGCGGCCGGTCCCTGATTCTCTCTCATTATGGATGTTTCTCTCTCTCCCTTCCTCTCTGAAATCGATAGAAATATATATTTTTTAAAAAAATAAAAGACATAGTTTCCCTTCACACAGCTTTTTTATAAATTTAATTTTATTTATTTAGGTTATTTTTTTTAAATATAATTCTTTATTGTTGAACGTGTTACATATGTTCCCCTTCCCCCCCCATTGACTTCCAATTTTATTATTTTACTATTTTTATTTTATTTTATTACTTTTAATTTTTTAAATTTTATTCATTTTATTGATTTCAGAGAGGAAGGGAGAGGGAGAGGGAGAGAGATAGAAACCTCAGTGATGAGAATCACGGACCGGCCGCCTCCTGCACGCCCCCCACTGGGGATCGAGCCCACAACCCGGGCAGGTGCCCTGGACCGGGAATCGAACCCGGGACCCTTCACTCCACAGACCAACGCTCTATCCACTGAGCCAAACTGGCTAGGGCTCATACAGCATTTTTGTTTTATTTAATTTATTTGATTATGTTATTTTATTTTATCTTATTATTTTACTTTCTTATTTTATTTATTTTATTATTTTACTTTATTTTATTTTATCTTATTTTACTTTATCTTACTTTATTTTATCTTACTTTATTTTTTTTCTTATTTTATTTGATCTCATTTTGTTTTATTTCTGGCGGGAAGACTATTTCCAGTCTCGGCCCCTGTGGGGGTGAGGCCCCGGCCTTGGGGACGCTTGGGGAGCCCTTTGACCCCCGGTCCCCAGGGTGACCAGCAGCTGAGTCATTACCACCCCATGACGTCCCTGTGGCTGACGTGGGCAGCGGTGCCCGTCCAGGTCAGCGGCCCGGAGGGGACAGTGGGTGAAAGTTCAGTCATCAGGAAAAGGCCACGCGTCTGGGGACCCTCCCCCGTTCTGTCCCTCGTCCTTGCCGTCCTCGAACCCCCCGCCCCGTCCCCCCTCTTCTCGGTTGCAGGGTCTCAGGTTCGAGGTGGTGCCCTCCCGGTTTAAGGAGAAGCTGAACAAAGCCTCGTTCCCCACGCCGTACGCCTACGCCATCGAGACGGCCAAGCAGAAGGCACTGGACGTCGCCCGGAGGATGCACCAGGCGAGGGGGGCTCCGCGTCG